TTTATCAAATAAATTATATACTTAATATATTTTTGATAATAAGAAAATATTTACTTATTAATTATTCTTTTCTAAAATACTAACTCTGATTTTTTTTGCATTAAATATTTTTCCATTCAAACTTATTTTTCATATTGCATCATACACTCGAAAAATAGCTAACCAATCAATTACTAACAATTTTCTACTAACATAATTCAAATTTTTATTTATTTTCAAAAAAGGATTGAGGGGAAATTTTTCATTAACAGCGAACTGCGTCTACGATCCCTCAACATACAACCCAGATAAGGTTCAAAGATAATTGAAAATCAATTCTACGCAATCCTATAAAAAAACACCAATCAACACTACGAACTATGAATTACTTAAAAACCATGGCGAGTCCTCTAACTAAAAATTAAAACCCTATTCCTAAACCTTAAACCTAAACCCTAGTATCCTTGTGAATAAGGTAGATGGAGGGTGCCTAACACCTTGCGTTCGTCTAAAGTGAGTCAAGAATTTAGAATCTCAATATCGATTTAGGATTATTGTGTTATATTCTCGTCCTTAGGATAAAAATTAATGGTGGCGACTCTCTATTTTTAGCCGATTATTACAATAACATGCTTAGAATTCGACATAACAAACTTGTCGAGAATCTTCCATAGGTATGCCTCTTGAGATAAGCATAATTTCGATTGCTTTCTATCTCTTCGGATGTCAATCCCAAGAATCCTGGACGCAACTTCCAGATCCTTCATGTCGAACTCCTTATTGAGTTCATCCTTCACCCTCATTACATCTTCGACATTGTTGCTTGCTATGAGAATATCATCAACATAAAGCAACAAAATAACAAATGAATTACCAGGTTGAAATCTAAAGTAAACGTAATGATTGAACTGGCTTCTAATGAAACTTATGCGTACCATGAACCGGAATCTCCTATTCCACTGTCGAGGAGATTGTTTCAGCCCATATAAAGATCTATTCAACTTTCACACATAATCTTCCTTTCCCTTTTCGACATACCCTTTAGGTTGCCTCGTCAAGATTGTTTCATCTAGATCACCACACGAGAACACAATCTTCACATCCATTTGTTCCAGTTCAAGATCGAATGGTGCCACCATGGCAAGCAACATTCAAATGGACATGTGCTTCACAACTAGAGAAAACACATCATTGAATTCGACACCTTCTTTCTGAGTGAAACCCCTTGCAACCAACCTTCCCTTGTACCTTTTTTACGGTACTCCTTCGATTCCTTCCTTAACTTTGAAAATCCATTTACAACTAACTAACCTTGCTCCAACAGGTTTCTTGATTAGTTCCCAGGTGTTGTTATTATGAAGAGATTTCATCTCATCACCCACGACCTTCATCCATTCAGTCTTATTTCGAATCCTCATAACTTCCTTATGGTCTCTAGGTTCTTCGTCTAGAACCCCACTTGTAGAGATTAAGGCATAAGCTATAAGATCTGCATACCCAAGTCTCTGAGGTGTCTTGATGACTCTTCTCGACCTATCTCTTTCCAAAAGGTAGTCATCGACAATTTCATCAACTTCCTCAGCATCTTCTTTTTTTTCTTCGACTTCATCTGGGATACGCAATTCAGCATCAACATGCTCCACCTCAACAGGAATCTCTACGTGTTCCAGCTCTTCGTTAGATGTTTTGGCACTTAGACCAACATCATCAGTTTTCTTGAAAGACATTTCAGCTTCATTGAAAACTACATCTCAACTGGTGATAATCCTCTTGTGACATGACTCTAGGAATCATAGCCTATAAGTTTTGACTCCTTTAGGGTATCCCATGAACATGCATTTCAGAGCTCTAGGCTCGACCTTGTCTTACCTATTATGAGCATAGGCTATGCAGCCAAATACTCTCAGCTTGTGAAGATCTAGCGGATGTCCCGACCAAACTTCTTTAGGTGTCTTCATACCTAACATAGTAGAAGGACATATATTTATCATATATGTTGCTGTCAAAATAGCCTCAGCCCAGAACACCATCTTTAACCCAGCACTAGTCAACATGCATCTAACTCTCTCATAAAATAGTTCGATTAATTCTTTCAATTAAACCATTTTGTTGTGGAGTACCTGCAACAGTTTTGTGCCATGCAATGCCAGAGGAAACACAAAAGTTGTCGAAAGCCTCATTGCAAAATTCAAGGCCGTTGTCGGTTCTCAGCCTCTTGACCTTTCTGACAGTTTTATTTTTTACCAGAGTTTTCCAGCTTTTGAAATTCTCAAAAGTTTCATCCTTAGTCTTCTGGATGAATACCCATAACTTTCTAGGATAATCATCTACTATAGATTGAAAATACCTTACTCATGAATGTGATGGACACCTTGTAGGCCCCAAAAGATCAACATGGATGTAATCCAGGGATCCATGTGTTCTTTATTTTCCTTTGTTGAACTTCACTCTAAGATTTTCCAAGTACACATGGTTCACAAAACTTCAGGTTTTCAAATTTGTCTCCACCAAGCAAATTTTGTTTCCCCATTTTGAATAGACCCTTTTCACTGACATAGCTCAATCTCATGTGCCATATTTTTGTTTTCGATAAAGGTTTCGTGGATGCAATATTTGTCAAACAACTTACAAATTCAACCTCAAGGATATACATGTAACACCCTGAATTTTAGATTAATTATTTATTTAATTAATTTAGCGTGAATATATGAGTCATTGTGAATTATTTGATGTGTATGTGTTTTGGTGTGAGTCATCGTGATGATTTGTGATGTTCCGATGAATATGAAGTATATTATGATGTCAAGATGAATTTTATGTTTAAAATGATGATTTGTTGGTGTAGGATGGACAATAAGAGATATTTAGAATTTAAATAATTTGTTGGAATTATTTAGATTTAATAGTAATTATTTAGAATAATTAGAATAATTGGTTAGAATTATTTTAATTAGAAAAAAATAGAGTAATATTGGTGTTAGTAGTGATAAGGGAAAAATAGCCAATTGGAAAGAATAAGTGAGGACAATAGTGAAAGATCATATTAGGGGTCCAAGAGGGCAAGTTTGGTATAAGGAAGGTTTGAGAGTTGGAACGATCATTCTGCTCAAACGTAACATTTGGAGAAGAGTGTTGTGAAGAGGCAAAGCTAGGGCACAGAGAGGCAAGAGGAAATTGTGATAGAACAACAAGGGAATATAATTGTTGCTATAATCTAAGGTAAGGGATTGTTATCGTTATTATTATAATTGATTTAAGTTTTATATAATTGTAGGTTTGTATTAGGTTTTGGTTATGATGAATATGAGATGATTTGATGAAATAGATGGTGTTTTGTAGCCTTGGATTGTAAACAATTATATCCAATATGTATAATACATTGGATTGTTGATGTTTGATGAATAACTTGTGATTAGATGATGTTTTAATACCTATAAGGTGCAGAAATTGCAAGATTGGGACTGTTATTTATGCAGGAAATCAAAATAGGAAAACTCTATCACGCAGGATCGCCGGGTGATGGAGTATCATCATCGGGTGATGATGGCGTTACTTGGCTGTCTCCAGGAAAAATAGAAGCGATGAAGTGTGGAAAAGAAGAAATTTACTGGAGTGCGTCGCTCCAAGCATCGTCAAGCGATGCAAGACGCGAAGGGTGTCTCGTCAGGCGATGGAAGTGGTGTCTCCAGGCGATGGAAGTGGTGTCGCCGGGCGATGGTATCCAGAATTGAATGGTTGTGTTGGATTTTCTTAAAAGAGTCATAACTTGAGTTTTAGAACTCGGTTTGAGTTACCATTTGAAGTGTTGGATAGCTAACGCGATGGACTTTAGTTGAATAGAATAAAATGAGAAATAAGAAGTATTTTACAAATACCTAAGCTAGGATGAAGTTAGGTTTCCCGTGTTGGATTATGATGATGCTTTGTTTAATTAAGATGATATAATGATGTTATGATGATGCTTCGTTTAACTAAGATGATATAATGATGTTTTGATGATGCTTTGTTTAATTAAGATGATATAATGATGTCATGATGATTCTTAGTTTAATTAAGATGATATAATGATGTTATGATAATGCTTTGTTTAATTAAGATGATATAATGATGTTATGATGATGCTTTATTTATTTAAGATGATATAATAATGTTATGATGATGCTTTGTTTATTATGATGATTAGAAGAGGTCATGATAATGCTTCGTTTATTATGATGATGTGATGATGTTATAACGAATTTGTGAATGATGATGCATTTTAACTAGCAGTGGTCGTATTTATTATGTTGTTGTGCATGATGCATTCATGGCATAGTTTAGGACTTTGGTCCAGTGATGTTATTAGAACTTCAGTATAACGAAGATGATAGGACAATAGTCCAGTGAAGGCATCAATCCCATAGTGTGGATTGAGTGCAAAGTTCTGAAGTGCTATGGTTTCAAGTGGGAATTGATCCTATTAGTGGGGATCTTTAGAGATAACGATGACTGAGTCATCAGTGACGTTTTGGTACCACATGCATGAGCCTATGACGTTGCATCTCATTATAAGTGATATTGAATAATGATGTGATTAAATGATACTTATTGATAAATGGTGTTCTGATGATATGTTGGTATGTATTGATGATGTTGTGAAGGTGTGGGTATAACATTAGGTTCTGATGACGTGTGATGTCTTGTCTTAAGTTCATATCTACTATATTTATTCTTTATGTCTTTTATGATAATTCAGCTGAAAATGTAGAATTTTTGCATTTACTATATATCAAATTTTACTCCCAAAATCAGGGGCTCCTTTTTTTTTTTCCAAAAATTTGACTTTCCCTATCTTTTACTTTCTCTCATTTTCTCTCAAAAAAAATATAACACAAAAATATAAAAAAAAGAACTCCCTCCAATCTTTATTCCCTGGCTCCGACAGAACTTTTCCACCCTTCCCCCATTGAACTCCTTCCTAACCGTCGTCGATAACCTCCCTAACCGCCACAGGAGTTTCTCTTCCTCTCTCACCCTCACCGTCAGATCCTTCTCCGTCCTTCCTCCCGTGCACATATATCTCCTCCGCTATCTCTCTTTCGCAACACACTCTCGCCGTCTTCTCCCTGCCATTCCAGCAAGCTTCGACACTCAGTTCCGGTCACCACCAACTCCGGCGACTGCGACATCTCACTCTGACCAACATCCAATTCCGGCGGCCTGCATACTCCCTTTGGTCGCGCGATCTTCAGCAATACGTATCCCCTGCTCCCTCCTTCAATGCCATCCCTCCGGCTATAGCTCCGCCCTTCCCTCCGATATGCATCAATATTCAACATCATCATCATCATCATCATCATCTAGCTTTGTTTCTCCTTGCAATTAAGGTAATTTCTCCCTCTTTCCTAGAATTATATTTTGACGCTAGTTTCAATTCTTTACACAGTGTTGTAATTAGAAGATGAAATTTTGATTTAGGAATGGAATTCGAGTATGGTTTAGGGACCAGGTTGTGCTGAGTTTTTTGAATTAAAGCTGGATTATGGCTTAGGGATTGGATTCTTGAATCAACACTAATTAGAATCTAATTTTAACATGAGAGTTGATTTAGGCTTTGTAACATAGACTGACATTAGATTTGTGAAGCTCTAATTTTTGACATAATCAGGTTCTTGATATCAAGATGTTGAGAAAAGTTGGCATTGGTTAGTAGCTTTTAAAATTGCAATTGAATTTCAAGCTTACACTTAGTTGTGAAAAGTGTTGATAAACCAAAGTCATGAGTTGCAATTTGATGCCAATACTTTTCTTTAAACGTTTAGATATCAATTAAATTTTTTAGTCTCCAATTCGTTAAAGTTTTGTTGAAGTTAAAGCATTAAAGTGTATCTTGATACATAGACTTTACTTTTCTACAAGTTGTGATATAGCTCCAATTCCTTATTTGTTGACATAAACTTGTGTTGGAAATATTTTACAACTTGTGAATATACTATAATGATGTATGTTCACATTATTCCCCTAACTCTGTTGGTTTCTTTGCCATTTAAATAATGTTGGCTTATTTGCAAGTTATGAACCAACTTTCATATGCTAGTATTCAAGATTAGAACGCTAAAACATCGATTTCGGATTCCGATTTATGTTGAAGGCTGGAATACACATAGTGTTGTCCATGATTTATACTTAATGCTATACCATATAATTTTTATCCGTATTTGAGTTTTACCACTGTGCTGGCAACATTTAAGAGTTATCGGAATCGATTCCATTACATTTTTTCATGATATTTTAAGCATTCTAAAGCAACAACATTGCTTCATAAAATAGTGAACTATATGCATAAAGGCATTCTAATTTTGTTTAAATTGTTTCGATGTTTATAGTTTTATCATTGTTGATACCAGTAACTTGTTTATGCGCATTTTTTACCGCTCTTTGAGTTTGATAACATGAGAATGGTATTGCTGTCTGGAATATCCATTTTGACATAAGTTTGCTTCTTCTTCGACAAGTTCTTCATGTGAATGCTAACATTTACTCTAGATGCTAACACTCTTGTGTTTGAGTTGGTTTTGTTGTTAGTTTGATTCAAGTAGGTGCACTAACACAACACTATGTCAATGACACTAGCTTGTATTTGCAATTTTCAACTCTTGTGCAAATTTTGACATAAACCAGTTTTCTTGCCAATTGTTGTGGATACTTGTTGATTATTATTTCTAGGTGTTGAGATAAGTTCTAATAGACTCTAATGTCATTGCAAACTCATTTGAAATAAGTTTGATTGATTTTAGTGGAAAACATCTCAACATTTGGAAAATATGACATTTTTTGATAAACCTATTTTTGCCATAACTTGTGAACCGCTTTGAGTTTTTCCAACTTTGTTTAACGAACACCATGTCTCTCGAGCCATCTGAAGCTGCCTACGCGTTCATTTTTTCGATTCAGACATTTTTCACCCGATTTCTTCTGAACTAGAATTGTTGCGAAAATAGAGTTTTCGGGCAAAATTTGACCGAATTAAACGCATTTTTATAACTGTTGGCACATGTATTGTTGCACATAATTTTTATAATTCATTCCGGATTTTTTTCAAGAGGTTACGACTTGTTTCATAAGCATTTTTCGGTTTATGCACGTATTATGCGTTTTATTGAAAATATCATTTTTGCACTAACTTTGGTCCATGATACCATTCCCTTTAGTGTGTAAATATACTAAATTGTAGCAAATAGTTCAACACTTCAGTTTGTACATTGAATGTGTCTACATTTTTGCTTTATGTAAATACCGCATTTTGTTTATACCGTTGACTTATACATATGTAGGGATGTCAATGGGGCGGGGCGGGGCCGGGGGGACACTTCCCCATCTTTTTCCCCGCCATCAAATTCATTCCCCGTCCCCGTCCCCGATCTCCGTCACGGGGGAATTTCTATTCCCATCCCCGTTCCCCGCGGATCCCCGTTCCCCGCGGGGATCCCCATAGATCCTACATTTATTCATTAATATTTTATTTTTTTTAAAATGTTTATATTTTCTATAAAAATAAAAAGCACAAAGAATTCACATATTTATTATGTTATTAAAAAATACTAGTATTTGACATTTAGGGTCTAATATTTACATTTCTCTCTCTTAATAAATACATGAATATTTATTTATTTATTTTTATAAATAAACATAAAGGAAATGACTAAAAAACCTAATCTAAAATATATATATTAAATTAACTATATTAAAATAATAGGCGGGGCGGGGTCCCCGCGGGGCGGGGGGTGTATTCCCCGTCCCCGTCCCCGAAATGCTCTCGGGGGAATTTTTCTCCCCATCCCCGCCCCCATGGGGGAAAATTCCCCATCTTTGGGGCCCCGAACGGGGCGTTCCCCGCGGGGATCCCCATTAACAGGTCCAAACTGACATCCCTATACATATGCGTTTTTTTACCATTTTTTGGTGCAATTACATGAATACGGCATGACTATCTAGAGTATGGTCATTAGTACCCAAACATGATTCATTTTTCACCCCTTGACTATTCACAATTCATACTTATGCCGAATTTCACTATGCTCACCTTTATACCAATTTTGGTGCATTTTTCGGTATTAATGATATGCTGTCCAGAAATGTCATACTATGTTCAAGTGACTTCCTATTTTGTATTGTACATAATGTTGTTGTTTTAAACATTTATTGCTTGCTTACCATTTGTATTTTAATTGCGTGGTTATTTGCTAACCATTTTGGTGAGTTGTGCATATATTGAGAAACGAATTCGGACATTGAACGCTTTGGTAACGGATGCGCTTTGCTCGTACTGGCATCAAATTTCTGACATTCTCTATTGTCGATGCTAGATTTTGAATCTCTTACGGAAGATTTTGGATATTTGTTGTAGAGTTTGCTGTATACGGATTTGTTTTATCCGTTTGGTACGTATTCAAATCATTATTGTTGTAAATATTGTAAATACTGCATCTTACTACTTTTTAGAGATCATGTATAGTAGGGACGTTTATTTCTTTCTAGAAATCATGTGAAGTAGGAAGCAAGAAATAAAGAGCGTGCGCTCGAAGTCGGTGTTTAAAGTTCTGTAGCAGGCACCATTTTCTTTATGCTAATTGTGTTTGATTAAAATCCTACCTTGTAAGTAGGTATTGTGCACATGTGTTTATATTTGTGCCCGTATTATACTACAAGTTATAAGTCCTCAAAGGGAGGCGAGGGGGAGGGTCTGTGTAACATGGTGAGAGAACTGACTTGGTTGTTTTTGTGTTTGATCGTAATTGTTGCAGATAGCAAGAGTCGCCACCGAATTTTCTTTTATCCAAATAAAGGAAAGGGTGAAAAGAACATGAAAGAACTGAGATTACTTTCTTGAGTTCGGGGGGTAGATTATGAAAAGGTAAGGTGTTAGCACCCTTTTCATCCGTAGTTATCTACGGGCTCTTAGTTTCTTGCTAGATCATTGCTTTTGTTTGAAAGTATGCTTTGTGGTCGGTTTTGAAAGTGTTTTTGAAAAGCACCTTCATTTAGGCTAACTTTGTAATGATTCTCGTCTCTATAAGAATGTATATAAAGTGTTGGACTTTTGAAAATATTTCATGGAAAATGTTGGTGCATTTAGAAAGGTGTTTGTGTTGGAAGATGAGCAAGCAACTAAGAACGTTTCTACCTACTTAAAAAGTATTTGTTCTTTTCCTCCTTTGATATTTCTATCTTACCATTGATTAGTAAGAAGCCTTATCTTTGGATATAAAGGGACGGGTGTGGGTCATCGTATAGTCATGATAGCAATGTTGTGAGATATCTTAGCATTTCTCTTGAGAGACTAAGATATTTTGTAAGGCAACATTCAAAGCGTCATCGAGGGACTATGATCTTGTATTTTTGATTGTTTTTTTCTAAGACGTCTCACATGCATAACATGACCATTTTCATAAGGCATTAATTGAGTTAACCCTAGAGGTGCATGTGTGCAAACTGTGTTTGATTGAATGCATTTTTGTCTTTTGATCATGGTGGTCTACTTGTTTATTTTATCTTGCCATACACCCTAATTACTAGCATTTTGTATAAAGTAAAAAAAATGCAGAAAGCTAAAATCCTACACTATTACAACCATATCGAATTGCATGAAAATATAAAGGCAAAAAAAAATAAAAGCAAGAAAAATGGTCTTTTCGATTTAGGCAGGAAACCCTTCGATTCTTCGCTTTCTGGCTCTCTTCGATTTGGCCTGAAAAGGGTGAAGGCATGACTTTCGATTGGGGCCTAGAGTCAGCATGTTGTGCCTTTCGTCTGGGTCTGGAATCAGTGTGGTATGCCTTCTGGCTGCCTCTTTGGTTTGACCTGGAGGTTCGTATGGAAGTCAAAGGCTTCGTTTCTTATTTCCTGTTTCTTTCGTTTGAACTCTTGAAAAGAAACATGGCCTAAGGCCATGCTAGCATTACCTTATGGTCAACTTAATACTTAATGCATGTTTAGGTAAACAAGAAGCAAAACGAAAGGATTAGCTCTAAAAAAACATATTAAAAGGGTGGAAACGAAAAGAATAATGGTATGTGCATGTTTGAAACGAAAGAAAAGCTTATTTACATGCTATGCTGGAAACGAAGGGTCTAAGGTTAAGAATGACTTACCTTGCTAGAGGCTGGAGCGTGTGCTGGACCTTGAAGTGGTTACTTTGAATGCTTCTGTATTCGAAGGGAGAGACCAAGGGTTAGGCCTTTGACACTGGATTCGAAAGAGAAAAACAAGTGAAATGTCTTTCTTGCTGGATTCGAAGGATAGCAAGATGTGAGAACGTTTCAGATTTGAAGGATACAAGTATATGGATTCTGGGTTTGTG